AGTGTGTGATTTTCCAGCGGCTGGGGTGGCTCTTCAGCCCTGCTTCTAAGTAATCCAGACGCTGAACCTTATCTCAGCACAGCACTGGGCACTGCAGCTGAAGTTGATAGCCAGTTATGTGCAGGACACCCCAAGGCTGTAACAAGGGTTATGTGACAGGCCTTGGGAACTAGTTCCGAAAGGCGAGGAAGGTTGAGTTCACTAACATTAATAAGGTGGCTTGAAGGTAGGCATAGGGTGTACAAGATTATTGTTCTTGGCCTTAAAACAGACTTCCTGGCTGAATCTAAACAGACTGCTTTAGTTTCTTCCTGCTTGTCTTCCCCTTATGGAAAAAGGAACAGTAGGGATTGGCTACCTTGCATAAGCACTGAGGTGCTCATGCAGGTGTGAAAGTAGTAAGAGCCTAAGGCAGGTGTCTAGAGGCAGGGGGGTAATGAGCTCAGAGCAGGGCACCCAATGTATAAACCCCATTTAGAAGAGAATAAGCAAGAAGTATTCAAAATAGATGTTTTCCTCAAGGAACAAAGATTTCATTTCAATGTAGTTCTTCCTGAGACTTAAGTAATGTCATGGTAGCACACCAACAGGTATTGCTGCTGTAGGTGCAAAAGTTTCCTCAAGGAAACTATTTAAGTGCTGTATCTACAACATAAAGCAGTAAACATCGGGGGGAGGAAAAAAAACAACAACAAAAAAACCAAAAACCACACAAAAAAAGGTATCTTACTCAGTGGCCTCCCAGAGGGAGTTTATGCTCAGCATGATAGCCTTATGGAAATTAACTCGTGTCTTGTTGTTCCCCTGCTAGAGCAGAAGGAAGTTCTTGTAGCCTGTAGGGTAAATTAGTACTTGCCAAGTTCAGTGCAGGTGAGGTTAGATTATCTTGGTACCTAAGTGAACGTGTTTGCAAGCTAACTCAGGATCTCTTCAGTAGCTACCCTGCAGTTTTGCTCTGTAGATATGCCACTCTTGACCTGAACTATTGTCAATGGGCAGAAAAAGGCACTTCTCTGAAGTGTGATTGATTGTAGGTGCTCATCTTAGGATGATAAGAAATACGATACAGAAGTATCTGTTTTTCTGCTGTGGATGTAGTATAGACCATGTGTATCTAAATTTGGATGTTACCTACTTTGCAGGCCTGGGCTAGATTTCAGGTATGGAGTTGAAAGGCTCCCATGTCCTGTGAGCCAACCAGCAGGCTTCCTTCCTCCTGTAATTTTTGAGAAATACTAGGAAAATACTGCTTCTTAAAACAGCCTTTTTCTTTTCTCCCCTCTGTACACAGCGAAATACAGTTCAGCTCCTCTAGTACTACCACTTCAGAGAGCCAAGAACCATCTTCAGGGGATCAAGCAGCGAGTGCACTTCAGCAGCAGCTCCTACTGATGGTGGCACGAAGGACCCTTTCAGAAAACCCACGGGTACATTGTAATATCTCAGCTTCTAGCATTTTGATAAACTGCTTTATAAACAAATTCTGCCAGCTTGTTCCTGAGATGGTTTTGTTGATTTTCTATCCTACGTTGCCAGGTATTGCTTATGTGGTAGAAGATGTATTTTATGTTGATGGATGCAATTCAGCTGCTTCCTACTGACACTGCAGTAGTGTTGTAGGGGAGTATTTAAAGACTCCATCACCTAAAAGATTGATCTTCTATCTTCAGTCTTACTTCATTTGAAAGAAAAGGGACACAGCTGTTGGGATTTTAGACACACCACTAGATTTTTATAGAACGAAGGGCTTATTACAGATTCATTACTGTCCTAAAACCTCATGTTTGATTTCACTTTTCTGAATTGGGTAACAAGACCTCTGGATGTCTGTTGTTGGAATGTCAAAGCCACCTCCTCAATGCAGCTGGTAAAAGGAAAAGGTTCTCAGAGTTCAACTTGTATGATAATATGTGGACATACTTGAACTTTACAGTGTTTCGGGTCTATGACCAATGGCTTAAGGCTGTAGTCTGTTTTTGCAATTCCTCTTCTAATACCTTTAACCTTCTCTTTTCTTCCATGGCAAATTCAAGTTTGATATTTATATATAACCTTAAAATGTCATTTAATTATCTCTCATCTTAGATTTTGCACAGAACCTTAAATCTAGAAGCAGGTATTTTAAATTAAAAATCAGGAAGTTGTTCTGAATTTTGTATTTCAGATTTGGACAGTCTTTCATCTAAAGGCTCAGATTTTTTTCAGATACTTATCTTGTAAACTGCCTGTAAATTAGAGAACAATTATGGCTTCCCCCTCACTCCCTCTTCTTCCATGAAAACTGCACCATTGAGAAGTAAGGTGGATTGCTCAAGATCATATAGCAAGTTTATAACAAGGCCAGGCAGTAATTTTAGAACCTCCTGGTTTCTGAAATTTATTTATTAAAAACGAAATTCTGAGCCTATATAAGTCAGTAAAAGTTTTTCATTGATTTCAATGAAGCTAGGGTTTCAGGCTGTCTCAGAAACCATATAAATTTATGAACTGAATTTTTATAAGCCCTTTTTTTGTTAGGAGGCAGAACTAGACTTTGTGACTTGCTCAGAGCTAGTCAGAGAATTTCCCAAAAGCAGCTTCAGAATCTGACTCCAGCCCAAGAACTGCAAGCCTCATGTAGTAATGGACTTCATCCAAATGTTACAGTTCCTCAGGAGCCAAAATGTTAATTTATGCACTCAGTTAAATACATTGTTAAGCTGTTCTGAGGATCGAACAATCAAGTGTTCTTAATAGACTCTTTGCCACCATTTTGCTTTCTTTTATTTAGTTACAGTGAGCAATCTAGAGCAGATGAGTGAAGTTAATGATTGCAGTTGATTTGAGTTTCAAATTACTTTCTGTTGGGAAATAGGACCCAAGAGAAACAAATCTGTGCCAGTATTAACAACTGTAATATTTTAATTTTTTTTCTTTAAAAATGCCCCAAGTCCAAAAGTAAGTGACTTTTTAAAGTTATAATAGAAACATTAAAATTTGGAGTACTTAAGCTACTTTTAGATTTTACAATCAGTGCAGTGAAAGGATGGCAGTCTCACAGCTTTTAAATTGCTTGGAATTGTTAATAACTGAAAAAATGCTGAACAGCGCAGCATCCCCAGGCATGTTTGAATGCTCAGAAACCCAGGTGAGTTATTGTCTGGTCCTATAAGTGGCTGAGCTACCCAGCACTGCGTGGTCGTACATTTTAGTCAATTGAAGGCATGAGATAAAATGCATAAACTTGATTTTTATTTTTCTCCAAAGCTTAAGCTAGCCTGTTTTACTTTACATTTGCTAGCAGACTGAGGTTATCAATGAGTTGGTTCCCAGTTGACATGCAGCAATACATTAAATCACATATAAACTATGTGTAAAATTCCTTTTCCTGAAAAGTGAAGATTAGAAATTATTCTGTTAATCTGAGAGAAAATGTAACAATTCCTTTATGCAAGAAAGTAGACAGGTTTAAAAGTCTGTGTTTTTCTCACAGTTACAATTCAAAAAGGCGGTTGGTTATTTCACACAGAAATACTCCTTTTTTACTAGGAAACTTAATCTAACACAAATTATTCTAATGTAAATATTGCCTAGAGTTCCAAAATTGATATATTATTTCATGTTGATTGTCTTTAACAATGAGGCAGGTAGAAGGAGTTTGAAAAACATCAAGCTTCACACTGATTAGAAATCTCAGACAAATTCTTCTTGAAAGAAAAAGTGATTTTTTGCTTGTTTTATCCTAAAATCAATTATCGGTGTACTTTGGAAAGAAATCACTACTTTGCAAGGTTGTTTGTTTTTTCTATCTGTTGTTGAGCTTTGTAGACTTTGATGGTCTTTAGATAAGCTTCCCTCCCCACAAGTGGTGGTGAAGGAGTGCATATGTAGAACTGGAAAACTGAAATGCTGTAGTTCAAACACAGGCAAGAAGAAAAGGCCTTAAAATGTGACAAAAGTAATATTAAAGAGGAAGGATTTATGATTGTGATGGCAAGATGAGAGACTCTTAAACTAGTGATGTTTATGTCATTTGTCCTTGTTTACAATAATTTTTTTTCTCCTCTTGTGGTTCTTGAGGATCCACACCTGATGGGGAATTAGCAGCATCCCAGGAAAGATAAGCAAAGCTATGTACTGGAAGAAGAGTTGATAAGTCATGCCTCTAGGCCTGCAAGCCTGCTTGGTTTTTTGGTTAAAAACAAGGATTTGTCCTATCATGTGTGGTTTTGAATTGTGCTGCAATTAGCCTGACATGTGGAAAAATCTTCAAAAAGAAGTTTTAGATAAGAAGTGGATTGGAACTAAAAAAGAAAAATTAATATTTATGTTTAAAATGTATTATCACTGCTGAGGTCCACAAGTGATATAGCTTCTGTCCATCTGCAAGAAGTAAGCTGGTGTGGTATCTTTGTTTCTAATTTAAAATTATGAAAAGAGATTCTCCCTCTATCCCTTTTAGAAAAAAAAATAATAATCTGAAACTTCATGTAATTTGGCCTTTTAAACCCCTGTTTTGTTGGCAGCCATATGTCACTGTGAAAGTGTTTTGTATATATCTGGTTTGTTTGTTTTTTAAAGCAACCCAGCCAGGACCCTGAGGATTCTTCATGCTCTTCAGCACAGCGGAAACTGAACAGGCAGTTTTATAGATTTATTATATTCCCTGGCAAATGGATTAAAGTCTGGTATGATCGGCTTGCCTTGTTGGCACTGTTGGACAGGTAAGCTTTTTTAAAATGCAACAATATGTAGTGTGACAGTGTGTGGCTGCACAAGTATGGAGCAATGCAAGTGACTAGAGAAGGAAAAACTGAGCATTTTGTTAGTGTCTTAATTGAGTAGATAGAGGCTTGTTTGCTTTAAGGTTAAGAAAATGTTTTTCTTCAGAGTTAGTTTTGCTGCTTCTCACTACCATTTGTCTTCAGGCAGAGACTTTGATTTGTGTAAGCACCAGGCCTGTAGAATAGTCTTTCTTTGACTCTCAGCTGTTGGATCCAATGGTTCTGAGCTTTCTGATGAGAAAATCAGTGTTTTGTGCAAAAACGCAGAAGCAGAAGGGTTCCAGGGTGTTGTAAACCAAGTACTCCACTCTTAAAAAAAAAACCAAAAAACTAATAAAAAATATTTTAAAAATTATAGAATGAATATTCAGCAGGGGATCTTTCAGCTTCTCCCTGTTCCAGTTCAGTTTTATTTTTTTAGAGAAAATTTCTTGGCATCTCTTCTTTTTCTGATCCCTCAGTTTCACTCTTCAGGCAGTGCCCTTTGCTATTAGACCTCACATGGTAATTTGCCAGACTACTAAGAGCTTCAAACGTGTTAACCTACATATCTCATGGCTGCTGGCTCTCCTATCTCTGTTTTTGGGCTGGTGCAATGCCATATATGGGCTCCACAACAGAAATTTCAGATGGCAGTTTTACATGCTGCAGAAATCAGGCTGTAGAGTTAGGGAGCTTAGGTCCAGGGCAGACACTTACTTATCTGTGGTTTCTTATCTCTGTTTCAATTGCATGGAAAGCATCTGCTGATAAACCTTTTTATTATAGCTTGAATATTAACATTGGGGTTTTTTTAATCTCATCTTCCATGTCCTACCAGAACAGATAAAATGAATAAAACATCAGAAGACAAATTTGGTCTTTCATCTAATTCTTTGTTGTCAGATGTATTTTTTTCCTTAAATGAATGCCTTATTCCTCATTTTAAAACATTTGGAGTCTTTATGCTTGGTTGTTTTTTATAAACATACACTTGCTACATTCAAATCGGCTCCACTGTGGAATTCTCTTTGGTAAGTGAGATTGAAGGGTAGTGAACTTGGGTGCATGAGCTTTTTTTCTATACATTTTAGCTATCACAGTGTGTAAGGTCTTTCACATGGAGGTGAAGTACCACTGAACATGGAAATGTAATTTTGGGAGCAAAACCTCACACTCTGAAAATTCAGGTAGCTCTAGCACTGACAGTTCATACCAGCTGCAGATTGACCTGCCTTGCTCTAATGCATATATAAATATATTTACTTAACACTTTTATTCACATAGGACAGAAGATATAAAGGAGAATGTATTTGCTGTCCTTCTAGTAGTTCTTGTTTCACTCCTTGGATTCCTCACGCTGAATCAAGGCTTCTGTAAAGACATTTGGGTTCTGTTGTTCTGTCTGGTGATGGCCAGCTGCCAGTATTCACTTCTAAAGGTAGGACACAAGTTTATGTCCAATTGCTGAATTATTTTCTGAGTTCTGTGAAAAGAAATTCCTGTAAGCAAACTTTTATTTTTCTGTTTTGTTTTCAGAGTGTTCAGCCGGATCCTGCTTCACCAATACATGTAAGTCTGGGCCAGTATAACATGTCTTTCTCCTTTATTATCCCTTGCATACCTGAAACAGTTGACTGTTTAGTGAAACATAGGTGTAAGTAGTTTGCTGTTCTAGGTGATTTATGAAAATGAGCAAGATGTTGTCTGTGATTTTGAGAATTTTTACTACATTTATTTAACTTTAAGCTATTTGAATTTATCACTGCTGTTAGAAAAGTGCTTTAAGCTAAAACATTAAGTAAAAACAAATGCATCTGGAGAAGTTTGCTGAAATTCAATTCTCTGGCATCAGACAAGCTTTTTCCTTCTAGGAACAGTGGCTGAAAACATGAGAATTTCCAGATTAGCACCTTAGTCATTAATCAGTTGGGGCTTTAATTTTTTTTTAATTCTTTTTTTTTTTTTTTTTTAGAATGGGGGTTAACTTTTCATTTTTTTGAAATCTGGTATTGCAGATATATTTCTCAATAGTCTTACTAGCTCATCAAATGGCACAGACGTCTTCCCTTTGTTATAATATGGCCAGATCTGTAAGTGAATACAGACTGTCAGGTTCTTTGCTGGTTGCTGTTTGTCAAGTGTATCTGGGAAACTGAATCCTGACAGTGATAACCACCTTGCAAGGAAACAGTTCTTACCCCAGTCTGTCCTCATTATAGGACTGGTTTAGGATCACCATCTGTCCTACAACTGCAGCCTGACCCCTCCACCTGTCCTGGTGTCTCAGTAGTTTTGATTGGTGTTCTTGGAAGATATTTCAGTAGTTGCTAGGTCCCTTGCTTGCTTTTACACCATCTGCTTGGTTCCTCACACTTCTTAGCTCATTCAATGTTTTCAAGGACCCTCTCTCTTCCTTCAGGACTCAAAACCAGCATCTTCAAAACTGCAGGTTTGCTGGAAAGGTTTTCCCTTTGGCAGGAAGCAATTGTTTTCATCGGTCTAGAGTCTAGAAACACAGACTGAACTTGAAATTGAGGTTTGCTGAGAAATTGAGGTTCAGCACATTTCACTGAGATGGATTTCAGAAGGTTCTTAGTTTCCTTTCCATGTCACTTATTATGGGGTGAACTTATGGTATTGTTGTTTATAATGCATTCAGAGTGATTACTGTCTGCATAAAAAGTAGGGAGGGCTAATAAACAGCAACTTACAATTGTAGGGTGATATTTTTCGTACATTAAAGAAATATTTCTACCTCAGTAAAAAGCTGAGTCTTTTGAGGACTAAAATAATATTTTCCAGTTCAACTAGCATGTGTCTAGACATAATGTGAACTGTAACCAAATAGTTTGTGTAGTAGTAATGTGTACATCTGTTTAAAGTGGGTGACAAACATTTTAATCAAAACTCCATTAGAAACCTATCTAGCCCAGATTTTTTTTTGCAGTATTAAAGTAGCTAATTAAGTTTAAAGAGAATATTTTTGTGCAGAATCTGCATTTGCATTTCAAGCTCCCACAATAAAAGTGCTACTCACCATGTAGTATTCTGTGTCTCATACAGCCATGTACCAAAGTAACAATAGATGTTTCCCATCTTCTATATACTTTCCTGGAACATCATTTATCAATAATATATTCTTGCAAACTATTTTGGAGCACCATATGAACCCCAATGGAAATAAAATTTTAAAAGTTTTTCCACAGAGGGTTCTAAAGGTGGGAGGCATTATAGATCAAGTTAAACCAGAAGATTAGCTGCTGGATAAAAAAATGGTCAGATGGCCAGGTCTGAAGAGTTGTGTTAAATGGAGCTACATCCAGTTGGCAGCCAGTCACCAGTGGTGTTCCCCAAGGCTCAGTGCTGGGCATCCAGTTGGCAGCCAGTCACCAGTGGTGTTTCCCAAGGCTCAGTGCTGGACCTGCTCCTGTTTCACATCTTTATTGATGATTTGGATGAGGGGATTGAGTCCACCCCCAGTAAGTTTGCAGATGACACTAAATTGGGTGGGAGTGTCAATCTGCTTGAGGGCGGGGAGGCCCTGCAGGTGGGGGTGTAGGGCTAATGGTTGGACTTGATGATCTTGGAGATCTTTTCTAACTGTAGTGATGCTGTGATTCTGTGATTTTTAGCACAATAGGTATTTGTAAGGGCTTGCTTGAGCTAGTAAGCACCTCAACAGATAAGACAAGAAGGCAAGTAAAGGTATTCCATGTGCTGTCTCATAATTCATGATTACTACATTAAAATCAAAGAGAAGAACATCTCTTGATGTTAATGTAAGGATTCAGAACAGCAGAAGGATTAAAGAATAATCAGTATCATGTCCATGAATGAAAATGCAGATAAGATTTTTCAGTGTGAAACAAACCATCACAAGCCACAGTTTTGCACACTGAATTGGTTTCTATTCCTGGATCCTAGCTGCTAATGCCATATGTTATCCATAGCTGCCAAGGAGATTCTAAACTTCTTCCCTATCTCCTACCTGCAGACTTTGTTACTGTTTGATGTGACTTTGTCGTCTCTAGCTTATACTGTTTTGAAAAAGTCTGCTGTAAAGATACCATCCAGTGAATTCAGAAGGCACAGTGCAGGTAGCTTTTGTTCTGAACTCCTTCTGACAGTGTGTTCACTTCATAGTGTTGAAGAAGAGCTTTCTGAATAAAGCCTGTAAAGTCTGGTAGTCTGGTGCAATTTTAATGGAGATAAGATTATTTCTTAGCCCGTACCATGCTGTGACACCTCTAGTCCCTGAGTTGAACACTGTGTATTGTTTGTATACTGTCATTGTGGTAAGGGATGACTTTCAGTATATAGAGAAGCACCTATCTAACTCAGCATGTTTTGAATTTTATAATAATTTATACTAGTTTTATTGAACCATGATAATAGTTCTGTTTTGATCAGCTTTGCTTAAGTTGGAGCTTAGCAGATTCTACAGCTAATGCTGGCTACTGGCAGTTATCATAGCTGCAGGTTTAGTGCTGTTGCCTACTACAGGATGAGAGCCTAATTTTCCTGTCAGCCCATGCTTTTGCCTTTCCAATTCTGGTCCATTGGGAGCTGGTGGCCATTATTTGCTGTTCACACAAAGGCATGTGGTTCAGGGATGGTGAAATTTGGGAAGACCCTTTTTACTGGAATGGTGGAGAGAAGAAAATAAAGTCCATCCCAAATGTGAGTTGTATCAGTTTATTAACAGCAGAATATAAAAGAGGTGCCAGTGACTGCAGGGTATTAAATTCAGAGGTCCAAGAGATCTTTGCATTTCAAGGTTTTAGACAAGTGGCTTTGGAGAGTTTCTTGGTGTTGTTTAGAGGCAGCAGCAGATTGGGCAATAAAGGCTGTGTCTGTAATAAATGGCTACATAGCAGATCATGAGAGCTTGTCTGTAAATCTCTTATAAGACACCTGTATAGATCAGAATCTAACTCAGGTTAACAAAGACATTTGAGCTTTGAAAGGTTGCAGTCATGCTCTTAAGATTTACAGAATTGCTTGCATACCTTCCTTGTCTTGGTTCCACCAGTTGACAAAGCAGACAGCTAACTCTTGCTGGGTAGCTAACATACATAGTTTCATAAATCCCACAAGGCACTCAAAAAGTATTTTTAAATTGCTCCTGTAAGCTTTTCTGTAGCACTGAGCACATACACTTTTCTTTATATAAAGCCTGATTTTTCCTCTTGCGTGGCTGCACCCTCAAACCATCATTAGATCTTTCTGAAGTTTCCCCATCAAAGTGCTTTGCAGTCAAAAGAGCTGTTTTACTAAATGGATGTAAAATTATTCTAACTTCGCTGAAAATCTTTATATTTTTATCAAAATAGAAGGGTGTTTGTAGGATGTATGTTTCTGAAATATGTTCGTGACAAAGACAGACCTGAGTAAGTCAATGACACTTTTTGGGCAGGGAAAGGAGCAGTTTTCACTGAATTTTTTATCAGTTGAGAAAAAAAAGGTTGTTCAACAAATTAGATGTAAAATAGAAAAGGAATCCTGCTTCATTATTTAAATTCTTCTGAAGGAGAATGCAGAGTTGGAGTAGTTTCACCAAGATGAAATCAGTTTTGCCTGTCAAAATTTGATGAGCTTGTCTAGTAGAAAAAAAGGAGTCCTTAATGACTAAAACACCTTGTTGCTAAGTGGCACTGCCACATGCCCATTTTGGTGAAGGACTGCTTAGCTTGGTGTGTCAGTAGTAGGTACAAAAGGGCTTTGCACTTTTTCTTTTTTGCCTTCTAAAACTTTAGAAAGGGAATTTTATGTCCATCCCCTGGCTGTGCTTTTCAGGAGGTGGTGTTCTGTCTTCAGTGATCCTCTCTCTCCTAGAAGGTGTCTGCTGTTGGCCTCAAATCAGTCCTGTACCAAATAATCACCCTGCAGAAAGGATGTAAATGACTGTGAAACTTGCAGCAGTTCCTCTTTCTTGTCCTACCTGTTCCCCAGATGTGGGAACTGTGATCTGTGTGGCTCTGGGAAGCTCACTGAGTGTCCCAAGCAGTGTAACAGCTGTGCAGCCTATGCCCTTCTGAGTGCAATGCTGCTGCATTGCTTTGCTCCTCTTGGTCTGATAGTAGGGAAGATTTCCTTTTCAGGATTCTGTCTCATTCCCAATGCCATTTGGAAAATAGGGAAGATGGTCTTTGCTCTCATTTTTCAGGCTGTTCAGACAACCTTTGAAAGGTGCTTCTGCAATTCTAACTAGCATTATTACCATTTGCATGGTAAGAGTAATTTATTTAGAAGAAAGAGTTAAATATAGAGTGTAAATCTAATTGAGTATGTCAGTGCTCTGCTTGGAACATCTGGACTTCTAATCATCAACACTGTCTTACCCAACTTCCTTCAAATAATTATGATGGAAAGATAAAACCTGGATTCTGTAATTTAAGAGATAAGACAAGGATGTAACATAACAATGAAATAGACTTTGTTCTGGAGTGCACATCAGGATATAGATCATGAAACAATTGTTTAGATGCAATATTTACCGATTTCTTTTCCTAAGGCACAGCTTATATTTAAAATAAATGAACTGAAGTTTAAAAACATCCAGAAAGTAATTTTTAAGTTTTTGTTGTTTGGTTGGTTTTTTAAGTCAGATTTTTATCTTTCTAACTCTTCTTTGATTTTTTTTTTTGTTTAATGGACATGTGTCTTATTTAAAACAAAATACTTTACTAAAACTGGAAGTCTGATTAAACACCAGATAGGATTTGATTTGTATTCCACAAATGTGAGGTGCAATGTAAGCCCACTAGTTCCCTGCCACCTTGTTAGCCAGTTGATCCCAAAAGAGAGTACAGCTCAGCTAAAAGCAATGTTAACATGAGCTTGGCTGGCAGCCAAACAAATATGGCCACTGTTTCAAATCAGTAAGTAGACTCAAAAAAAAGAAATGGTCTTTTATTATACTCATTTAAATTACATTTTACAAGTAAGAACAGTTTCACAGCAGCAGCTTTTTGCAAGGCAAACCTGAATCCTTGTCACTTTGCTCTTGGCTTTTCACACTCAGGGAATCTTTTGACTCACCAGCATTTAAAATATCTTATTTACCCTTAAGCTTGCTACCAGGAGAGCTATTAAGATTTTTCTTAAGTGTCTGTTATTCTCCCTAGCCCTCAGCTCCACAGCAGTGTTTTACACGGTTCATTCAAATCAAGCATGTGAGGGGTGTGTATGAAAGGCGTAGGAAAAGGGTCCTTCCACATATTGATTCCTTTGGATCATAATTTCAAAGTACTACATGAGAGACACCAGAAACTGCTGAGAAGTGTCACCCCCTCCTACCCCCCGAAGGACATTAGTTTGCTGTCAAGAGGTTTTAATCAACAAAAAAGTCAAATTGAATTGTATTGGGGGGGGGAAACCAATGTCCATGCCTCAAACTACACCTAGGAGGTGCTCTGTTACTTTTTACTTCCCAGGATGCAGTGTTTCATAAAGTAAAAAAAATAAAATCCAAGCTACCTGAAGCAGACATTCATTAAAATAAAAGTGATGTAGAGAAAAACTTGTCTATTGGAAAGAAAGGTTTAGACAGATTGAGATATTTTTTTTTTCTCTACTGAAAATTATAACTACTGTAATTAGTGTATTATGAAAGGTCCAGAAAGTTCAGTTTTCAAGAGCATAAATGATTGCTGGAGTTAGTCTTAACTGCCTTCGGTGCCTTTTGAAAGTCTCCTCTGGAGAAGATAAAATACCTCGTAATATTTTTATTATTAATTAGTATGGGTGAGTCATTAAAATACTTTATCTGACTCCTGACCCTCTCTCCAGTTCAATGCAGGGCATGTAGTAGGAGAGTGAATACCAAATTCAAACATTGTTTCCTTTTTTTTTTTTTCCCAGGGGCACAATAAGATCATAATCTACAGCAGACCTGTATATTTTTGCATATTGTGTGGCCTTATTTTGCTGCTAGATGCTGGATCTAAAGACACAAATCCTCCATTTTACACAATGTATGGCTTGAAGCTCTTTTCGCCTAGATCTCTTCAGTCAGCCAGAGACCATGTAATAGGTGAGTCAATATTTTTCTTAGGAGTTTAAAAATGAATTAAGCATCAACTGGGGAAGCCTGTGCTTTCCCATGTTGGCAATCAAATGCATGTTGTGGAGGCACAACTCTAGTTTAAATGGATAGAAACATTTGGAATGACCTAAGATGGGTGGGGGGCAGCTGGCAACCTTCCCTCACATGGGAGGAGTTGTTAATGAAATGAGACTCTCAGAAAAATCTCTATAGAAAACTAGCAGTCACTGATGTTATTAGCAAAAGACATCATCTGTGAAATGCCGTTAATCTTCGTAAGGACTTACTTGTCTGTGTGGAGCAGTTACTGCGGAACAAGCTGAGTTTTAAATTTAATGCCTGGAAGCTAATCGGTGCCAAGTCCTCAGGTGGGCATTCTTCCACTCATGAGGAACACACTTTTTCTTGGTTTGGTTTAACCTTGCTGTCCACATGATGAGTTAATGTCGAGTGGCCTCTCCACAATAACTCTTCCAACCTGCTTCCTTCTAGAATCATACCCTTAGGTGGCTGAGGACATTCAGATATTGCCCCAAAACAGGACCAAAGTTACTTGTTGTAGGTGGCTGCAGCTTGAAATGCCCTGTTCTGTCAGGACAGTTCTTCCTGCTGTGTGCTCTCAGTCTGTCACTGTGGTGCTGCTCTACTTGTGTCGCAGATTCGAGCACTGAACTAGACTCAGGTCAAGTAGTGCAACACTGTTAGGTATGAAGTAGAAAAGTTAAAGGTTACTGTAAAAGTCATGAAACTTCCCAGGAGCTGTTTTGTGGTGTACCAAAGACAGCCCATTGGTTTGTTAATTTCAAACCAGGAAAACCTACTGTAGTAGGGGGAAAATATTTGTGATCCAGAGCAAATGACCTTTGAGGTCTTCGTTCAACTGTGACTATTGTCCTTGCTTTTTGCTCTACTCAAGTCAGGCTATTACTGCCTGAAATGCTTGCTATTTTTAGGAAAGCCCTCTGGTCCTTCATATGTGTTCATTGACTCCCAATCCTTCTCACTAAAAACACGGGAATAATGAAGACCTGCATCTCACTTACTTTCATTAGCTTCTTTCATTACTTTCCTTTGGTCTCATTAAAGTTTTTTCTTATATCTTATTTTCTCTGCCTGTCAAAGGTGAACAGTAAAAATGCTGATAAATAATTCAACAAGAATCTTAAATGACTCTTGGGATAGAGATAAATGAAAAACTATAGCAACCAGTATAAGAAAAAAAGTGTGGTTATAAATGTGCTAATTTTGTCTGGCCTCAAATGAGATGGTGGAGCAGGTTCTTGAAACAGCCTGGGGGGAGGTGGGGGAGAGAGAGAGGAAATACATCTCCCCAGTTGGCGTCTGTTTAGCGAGAGAGTGAGAGGAAACCATTTCCATCTGCTTGTCCCCCATTTTTGCTTCACCAGCTCTGGGAGCTGGCACATCTGTGGGTATGTTTGTTCAAGTGATGTTTGGTGCTGAGATGTGGCAACTCCTTGCTTTGTCTTTATGGGAGTCCCAGCTTCTGGCTGCTGTCACTGCAAGTGTTTACAGTTCCACTACTTCCCCAAGCTATGGCAGTCTGAATCCTCCAGCATCTTGCTACGGTTTGAGAACAGATTCCCTTAGGCACTGAAGGTATAGAGTTGTTTTGGACAGTATTTGTTTTAGGAGGGAAGTTGGTCTCACTGAATACCAACAAAGTGTTGCTATTTTTTTGTGGTTTTGCCCATTTGATAGTTATTTCTGGTATCTTTTTATTGGTTTGTCATCATATGGTGACCTTTTCATTTCTATTTTACTCATCATAGAATCATAGAATGTCTTGGGTTGGAAGGGACCTCTAAAGGTCATCTAGTCCAACCTCCCAACAATAAGCAGGCACATCTTCAGCTGGATGATGGAAATCACAGAAAGGACTTAGCAAGGAACTAGTGTGATGCTGCATAGCATGCTATGATGAAAGTCTTAAAATAAGGCTATGAAAGAAAATCAGTGGAAATTTGTTAGATGCAACCTAATTACATAAATGTGTTTTAACAGGTCCATTTATTTTCAAGCAATCTTTAGCATTCTATTTTATTTTAAATTGATGATGGTTCTGCTATTGATTTATATTAGTTGGGAGATCATGGTTTTAATTCATGCCTACTGTGGTTTTGAATTCCTTATTTTATTTGACCTTTTTGCTAGATTAGCATACATAGTGCAAGTAAGGGCATAGCCAGAGCCAACCTCAGTCACTAAGTTCTACAGGTGTGGTTAATGCCGGAAGTAGTTACACACTTAGTATATGGTAGTTTTTGTGATGAAACCATTTGAGCATTAGACAGATGAGTGAAATTATTTGGCAGACATCACAGAAAAGTAAGTTAGCAGGTGGCTGCAAAATTTTGTTATAGCTAGTCCTTTGACTGCTACTTGTAGCAATGACTGAGCTTATGTCAGGGGAAGAAAGCCTCTGTGATTTCTATTCCCAGATGTTCAGGAGGCAATGAACAAAATTCAAAGCATTTTTTTTTCCCTCTGGAAAAGTATGGCTTATTACACAGCAAATTGACTAGTATTCTCTATTTTTTTTTTTTCAAATACTGATTTTCAAAATGTGCAAAACATTTGCAGTGACATTGCCACTGAGTTACTTTTCTATGTTTTTCAAAAGATCCAAAGTTTCCAAAGTCAAAATGTGTGTTTCTCTCCTACACCTACACCTCTCCTACATCTGGTAGCTGCTTCTCTAGAGGAAGTCCTCAAACTGCAGCATTAAATGCCAGCAGTTCACATATGCATCACTTAGGACCAGCTCTTAAAGGTGCTTTGTATGGAAATGAGGGAGGCTTAAACAAATTTTCTCTGGAATTCATAATGCAATTCCAACTGATTGATCAACTCTTTTTATTATCTGCTTCCCACAGGGGAAGTGGTTGCTCCTAAATTCAGTCTTTTTGTAAGTGACAACAATTTATTTTTCTCTCTGCTATACTCCTTTGTGCAGGATGAGATAAACAAAGGTACTTTAGCTAAAGAAGTTGTTATTCACATTGTTAATAGAGAGAAGGTGAGGACATTAGTTAAACAACTTTTCTCTCCTTGTTTACATTCACCTCTATTTTGGTTTACTGGCCATGTAATGTCTCTCTGATCTTGTTCCTCCTTCTGCTCTTGCCCAACTTTTGTGAGGCTGCCACAGAAAAGGCAGTCATTTGGACTGTAAGTCAGTAATCTGAGATCTGGGCATTCTGCAAGTTCTTTGAGGAAGGTGAACTCATTCAAGTTGCAGCAGTGAGTTTTTGAGGTAGCTGATCCCATGGCAAGTCCCTGAGGCCTGTTTGTCTGTCATGCCATTGCTTGTCTTCAAGAGTTGTCATTACTTGGCTTGATATGGCTTGGAATATCTAAAAGAAGGCTAGAGTAGTAAAGGAGACTAATAATGGTATTTGCATGTAAAAGATTGAGAAGACAGTATTTCCTCCTGTTCTTACGTATGTATAATTTGTGCCAGTGGAAGGAAGTTGTGATGAAGGGCACATTGTGAATGCAAGTATGCTTAAGTGAGCCCTGTCTGTGTTTAACACTTGAGTATGTCATTTGTTCTCCTGTGTTTGACTTCCCCAGCAAGATTTACAGTATTACATAGCAGCAGTGTATAATAGGATGAAGATAAAAGCTGTAGAATCAAACTCGCTGTATTGTTTTATTTTAGCACAAGATGCATTAGTAAGTAGAGCTGGGAGTAAAATGTTAGATTGGCATTCAACAAAGAACACAAATCCTATTGTCACCTTCTTAAAATTTGACTGGAGTGGGAAGGAGAATAAGTTATACTAGTGATTTGTTTAATTTAGTAGTTCTAAGAATGAATAGGAGGAAACTGCAGTCTTCCTAGTTTGTAAACTGACAAATACATACTTGTTTATGAGAAAGAGTGACTGGCACACATCTGTTTCCTTCACTGTGCAGAACATTTTGGTAATAGTACAACAAAGCAGTAAGAATATAATTAAACACGTGCATGTATGCTTGAAAGCTGATGGTATTGGAGCTTGGGTTAAGTGTGTGTTTTGATGCTTTGCTAGACAACTGTGCTTAACATTTTCTAGAGCATAGCTAAGAGTAAATGGATGGGAAGGAGGAGTGGCTTGAAGTGAACAGAATGTTATACCAGCAGCACAATTACCTGAGTTATGACTCCTGATTTTCCTTTACTGTAAGGCAACCATTTAAGTTAGTATTTCTGTTTAGAAAGATAATACATAAAGGTGTAAGACTGGTTTTTACCCCCGAGTTTCTGTGCTGTTTTTAATGTTCTTGCACTACTGCAAAGTCAAGGTCCATGCTGCTGGAAGCTGGGGAAGTTTCACTATAGGTTTCTCCAGTTTTTACAGGCTGCTTTAGGTGTCTGCTAGTGATTTCTGGCAGAGGCCAAGATATTTGGGATCTTAGCCATCAAAATACTGTTTGTATATATCGAATTGTTATACCTGTGCTTGAATCATCTCAGATTCAAGGAGGAAATTCTGAAGTCTGCAAATTGATATTTCTGTACTTTAAATAGAGCAAATATAACTTTGAAAGTATTTAAGAAGCAGTAAGTAGGCCACATAATGCTATTTTTTTTTCTGCCATTACTTTTTAATCCATAATAAAGCTTAAAGTGAAACTATTAGTTTCTCACGTGTAAAATAGCATATTCTTTTGAATACATTAGAAGGAATGTGTAATTGTTGCTGCTGAGATTAAGATATGCTCATTTAAGTAATCTTCAGAACTTACTGCAACAATTTCTTATGCTGGTGTGATGCATGTTTCTCTGTTTTCCATGCATTGTGATGTATGATTGTGTTCTAACATATATCTTCTTTGTTTCTTTAGTGTTTTTATATTGCTTTCCTGCAATTTCTCTTCTTGGTCTTTTCCCTCAAATCAACACTTTCTGTATATATCTTTTGGAGCAAATTGACATGTTGCTTTTTGGTGGTTCTGGTAAGTAGCCAGTTTCATTGCTTTCTGAGCTTATAACCTTATAGCAGAGTGTATTACTGCATGTTTTGAAGCACAGTGCATCTTAAAGCTCAAGCAGTTAATGATACGAATGCAAAGGTGGGGAGACTACTAATAAGACCTCCCTGATTTTATCTCTTTTTTCTTTTGAAAAAGTTGTGTACAAGCTTTACTATAGGCTGCAGAATGTGACTGACATCCATGGGCTCTTTCCTAGCATGTCCAATGTGAATCTTTTCTCTAAAGAAAAAGAAAAGGTGTTTCGTGTTTTTTGGGGGGTTGGTTTGTTTGGTTGGTTTTGTTGGGGTTTTTTTGTTTGTTTGTTGTTGAGGTTTTTTTGTTTTTATTAAATCCTGTTAAAATTCCATTTAAAAAATAGAAAATGTCTGCATTCTGTTCCATAGCGTAAGGCGTATTGACATGATAATGGATCTGTGATTTTTCTGGTATTAGGTGTTATTTCAGTCAGAGGTTAAACAAGGCCCGTGAAATATGGTGCATTATTTTTTTGTTGTTAGTGTAGGATTTTGGTTTTAATTATGGCTTAAGTAGCGGAGAAGATTGGGATGCATCTACACTGTCATCTTAGTTGGGATCAGAAACAAGCTTCCTCCTTGTTCCCACTTAACCACACATTGTTTTGCATCATGGAGTGATGTCAGAGGTATGCAAACTGGATTCCATTGCATGAAACTTAGAAGATAGGTGCACTGTAAGGGTGCACTTATTGCACTCCAAACAATATTAAGCGTATAATCCGTGGGACCAGCCTAGAGATATTTTTCAGTAAGGCATCCCGAACATGTATATCATGGATATTACATCCTCAACACTTCTGATTCCACAAACCCACGCTTACTGCATCATTCTGCTTGCTACTGTAGGTGCAACCTTTGGCAAGTGGTTAAAACTAATACAGATTATATGAGCAGTTTTTTGCTTTTTGTCTGATAAATATCAGAGCAGACCTGGAGGAAGTAACATGTTGGATAAAGCCCTTATGCCATCAATAATGATTCCAGTGTCTGTTGAACCCTAATTAGAGCATGGTTCTGCAGCCCCTGTGTCTCCATTTTTGAGACTGCTCACCTAATTCTGTCTAACAGGTTTTCCTACACTACTTCTGGGACCCCTCAAAGAAGGTTATAGCGAGAGATCAGCTGGTATCTTTCTCCCTTTAAGTTTATTCATGTATCTTAATGTTCAAATCATGGTTGACCAAGCAAGTTAGGATGCTTTTGGATGATACCAGAGCCTGTGTCTTAGGAACAAAGGAAAAGAGGAAAATTATAAGTGGAGTTCTCCTAGACAATTGCCAGTTTAATAGATCACTTTATTCCTCCTCTGTAGCAACACAAAGAGGCATTCTGATGTTTTGGCAAAACAGCATTCAGCACAAAAAAGCAGTAGTGTGGAACCTCAGGTCAATGCAAAACACATGGTGTACAGTAGGATCGGCCTTTCAGTCTTAGTTGTAAACAGTTTTGTAAGCTCATTTGGGGCATTGAAGGTGTTCTGCTGACAGCCAGTTTTGTGATAGCTAATCTGTAAACCTTGTGATGCAAAAGCTGTGTCACTTTTTTAGTTTTGATGCTACATTGTCACTTAAGAAGAAGCGAACTAACATGTAATGTCTATATTTCAGCTGCTGCTGGATTGGTATCTGCATTATATAGCATTTCACGAAGCTTTGTGGTTTTAATTGTCCTGTATGCTTTCTGCTTCAGTGCAGTGAAGGTAAGCCAGAAAAAACAACACTGCAAAAATTAAAAATGTCAAGCTCAACATTCATATAATTGTTTGGAGCTATCTTACGATTGTTGTTTATCAAGATAAACTTTACAAGCCATGCTTCAGGTTCTGCCTGTTAGCTACACTGAAATATACCGAAATTACCCCAGTAGAAATACTGGGGTAAATGTGTGTCTAATATGTGTGACTGTTCACTTCTTGCATGTATCAGTCTGAAATTATCTCATGGAATTTCTACTACAAAGGCTAACAGCAGCCTTGGCTTATAAAGCTGCAACTCCTGTTAAGCCAGGCTGCTTTTGGTAAATTACTAGTAAGGTCCATATTTTTCAAAGGAAAAGTACAGGATTTTATTGTTGTTTCATATCAGTGTTCCTAAGAAATTACATTTTCTGCTGGGGCAGACTAGTGAGCTATCTAACTCAGTAATGTGTAAGCATCCATAGCAAAATGCAATTTAGGAATTTAATGCAAGCCAGACAGCTGCTTACTGAGTTTTCCCCTAATACTCCACCAGTATCCACAATTGATGGATTAGGGATGGTGGACAGTGTGTCCCTGCTTAATTCATTTTGTATCTGTGGACCTGTTGTCTATGAATTTGCCCAGTCTCTTCCTGAATGCGCTGGTCCCATCTCCACAACTTTCTGTGCCAGCAGATTCCAGACGTTCACTGTGCTCTGCAAAGCAATGCTGTCCTTCCCTGTTTTTAAGCTGAGTCATTAATTTCACCAAGACTTCCGTGTGCCTAGTGTTGCAAGAATTGTGGAATAACTGTTCTGCATTCACTGTATCCCCTGCCTTTGCAGTTTTGTAGGTATCAGTAATATCATACCCTGCCATTTCCTCTCTGAAGCTACCCAGCCTTTCTAGAGTCTCCTTGTAAAGCAGCTGCTCCATTCTCTCAGGAGTTGCTAAGTTAATTGCCCAGCTCTGTGCCTTCTCTTTGTTCTGGCCTTGAGATATGGAGAATAAGTAGCAGTGTATGGTGCTCAGGATGGGGGTGTACCATGGCTCTATATGCTGGCAAAATTACCTATCCCAGTGATGTCCAATGTTGCTTTATTTGGCAGATGCTGCATTTTGAGGCATATTCAATCGAAAATACTTTTCTTTTTCTTGCAGTTAATTTATATGTCCTCTGCATTTTTTTGTTTTGTTACAAAAATAACAATGAAATTTTCTGTCTTCAAGTCTGCTGTGAAGTTTCCAGTGACTACTACAGCGAGACCAGAAATTAATCTTGTGATAAAATTTATCCTTTAAGAGACAGTCTTTTGATAGTGTTTCATTACAAACTGGATGCTGTCAGTGCCCATGCAGGGGTGCACCAGGATGTGCAGTGATTTACATGCTGCTCCTGACATCTTGCAGGCATATGTGAAGAGGATGCTTTGTGGTGCCACTCATGTGTAGAGCACACAGGGATCCCAATACCACGTTCTACAACAGCTGAGGGTGTATCATGTCAACACCCAGGCTGGTGATTTGCGCAGATGAGAGGGGAGATCAGATGTTTCTTTAAGGGAATTCTTTTAAGGATTTCTGTAATGACTTTTAACAATTTACCGCTTAAAATTGTGAATAGGAGCCTTAAATCATAAAAAGGTCAATTATAATGCTTTAATGATCTCTCGCAGATCATCAGAGCTGGCTGTGCATGTGTTTTTAACCACTCCCGACAGTAAGGTAAAATGTGTTAAGCCGCCATTTTATCTTGCCCCTGGGTGGCTGGAGTCCATACACAATAAACTATGGCAGCTCAGCTGCTGAGCAGTGCTGTGTTAAGAGACTTTAAATTAAATGTCTTTTAACGTGGTGTACTCCCAGGGAAAATTGTGTTGCCAGGCTCACCCAGTGTATCAGTTATACTGGTTTGACCTGACCCAGCTGTGTGACGCTAGAAAGCTTAATTGCTTCTTAAGCAGTTTCCTAGAGTAGCTAGGATTGCTGCTGCTGCTCTTTTCTGGCTATATTAATGATTCAGAAACTGGCAGCTGGGATGGAGAAGGTGGCTTTCTGTAAGGATGAACAGAGTGAGAAAAATCTGTAATGTGGGGGAGAAACCAGGAGAAAAACAGAAAGAGCTATATGGAAGGAAGGAAGGGAGTTAAACCACTATTCAACAGGCAGACATTTGGGGAAATGCTAATTTCTTTCCCTTAAGGTTAGCAGAGGGTCATTCACTAGTTGAGGGTAGAGAAGTCATGAGATGTATGGTTTAAAAAATAGTTTTGTAAACGCTCTGTAAGAGAAGCCTCTTAAAATATTCTACAGGCTCCTTTCACAGTGTAGTACTGTAAATTACAGCATGCAGGTGGCCTTGTAGATAAGCAATCTCCTCATGGATTACACTTCAGACTGCTTAGAAATACGTTTTTAATGCTACCCTGAAGTTGTAGAGTGCTGTGAAAGATTTACAAGATATCTGTTGTCAATTAGCAATATTGAGTGCAGATGACTTTCTGTTCACACAGAAATTACTGTTAATTTGAATTTTTATGTCACTGTTCTTGTGAAAACACTTCTGAGGAGGTTAATATAAAGCATGTAAAGATGAATCCACTTGCTTTAGCTCATAATCTCAGTCTACCAGGGTTGCTTGAAATTTCATACTTTTTATTTTCTTCTAGATGTCATGAAATAAGCACTTTGTTAATCCTACTTGCTCTCCAGTGAGGTCCTGAGATTTTTTTTTTCCCCTTTTGAAGTGTTGTTACAACACTGCAAGACAAGGATTCTTTGGTTGGTGGAGTAGGAGTAGGAATTAGCTTAAATGGAAGAGAAGAATGATGCTGATAGGTTACCATTGTGAAGGGTGGTCTAATACCCCTGTAAGAAACTAGAATTGTTTTGAAATATAGAGAGCAACAACTTCAGATCCTAAACAAATGAAGATTTGGTTTTTTGGTACACTAGAAATAGCAGAGTTTAACTGAAAACTGAACAAAAACTATGGTCTGTTTCATTTAGATGAGTGCATAATGGTGATAAGTACATGGCTTTGTCTAAGATAGAAACGGCATCTCTTCCACACTTGCAATTTACAGCTATTGGGGTTTTATTTATTTATTTATATTTTACTCTTTTCACTTCTAGTCAGTTTGGCAAAGCCAACAGAGGAAAATTTTCAGTATTTTTGGAGATTTAAAAAAAATAAATAATCATAATCCACAAGATTCAGGGCAGGGAATAGACTCTCCCTGACACAGGATTTCTGGGTTGCAAATCTAATTTCTTGGCTGAAATGTAGCATCCTTAAATATAAACACGGTTCACTAGCAGAACATCTTATAGCTCAGCAGGTGTAACTAGCAGAATTCTATCTCCTGAAATAAATTGCAGAGGAGAATGGATCTCAAAGTGTTTGTGTGCTTTTTACTGGTGAGTGTTTGCTCACATCAAATGTTCAGGCTGAAGACCCATTTCAGCAGTATCAGGCTTAAGCCTCACCTTCCATAAGTGGTTTTTGTGTTCTAATTATTGTCCTACAGAGTGAAATAGTCTAGCCTCATTTCTCCGTGCATGTCCAGTGAGGTCCTGAGATAGATATTATTCCAAAAGCAAAGATATTATTCCTTCTTATTAGAAGAATATTTAATTTGGCACACAGTTTTTTAAAATGTTAATTTTATAATAGATCTATATTTTTAAGTGAGCTTTTATTGTTTGTTTTTACAACAGAAACTATATATATGTATGTACAATAGTTTGATTGCAGTAAATTTTTGAAGTTATTTTAGAATAGCAAATTCACAGCAGTTAATTATTTGCTCTAGAACTCCAATTTTAGAAAGATTAAAAAGTAAGAATCCAGGAATTGTTTTGGGATATGGCCACAAAACAGTGTAAGTACTCAAGTTGACTTTCAGCATGCGAATATAAGCTCTGAGAATTGAGACGAATGTGCTGAAATCCTGTGCCTTTTCCAGGCTGAATTTGCTGTTGAATTATGCTGTACAAAACTGAGCAAAGGTCTCTATAAAGAAGCATCTGTGTTATAGAGATATAATTTCTTCTACTTAATAATTGTCACTGATTTTTGTTTAGGTAAGTTGTGTGAGGAAAATTATTAGGCAGTGTTCTTGATTCAGAGTTCATCCTATGATGTGCAGACAAAATTTGGTCTGCCCAATTAGTTCATCTGGTCCTGCCACTCCTGAATCACCTGGTAGCGTCTTTGCCATCGCATGACCAGAAATATTTCTCTCTTGTGGCTAAAATACACATACTGCCTAGAAGAGAATGGACAGATCTCCGGTCTGGTGCTGACAGTGAATGTGCAGGTTGGATCATGTGGCAGCATGGGACAAGTCCCAGCACAGGGCTTGATCAGGAGCATATGATGTGTTTGGGGTGTGGCTGCCTATGGCTCACCTGGCATAACACAGGGGGTTGTCTGACCAAACAAGCACTTTCCACACAACTGGAATAAGGGGCAGTCTGGTACAAACTCACTGTGGGATGAGGAGACCTGTGTTTGAGTTGCATGACTTGGACACTGGGAGGAGGAACAAGGACACATCGTTTGGAGGTGGCTGAGAAGCGAAGGGATCCCACCTGCTGTGGCCAGGCAATTGAGAGTGCTCCTCAGAAGCTTTAGCTATGCTTGCTGTTCCTGTGGAGGAGCTATGGGTCTACAATTTGTCAGGGCCTCCGGTGGTGCTACTCCTGGACTGATCAGTTTGCTTTTTGTTTAGAGCTGCCAGATTTAAAAAAGAAAAGCCCAAATTGTTCGCAGCCAGAAGTACAGAGTATTGCATCTAAAATGATCATAGATAATTTCTCCAAAGAACCCCAAAACACAGCGTTGCTGGAATTCCGGGTCTCCGTCTGTGTGTTTGTGGCCCTGGCAGGGCAGGGTGGCCCGGCCAGGGGTGTGGGTGGGATGAAGCACTGCCTGAGCCTGGCTGGCACCTACTGCCTGGGGCTGGGTGTCTGAGCAGCCCTGCTGCCCCGCTGGCCAGCCCAGGGGCTCTGGGCAC